GCTTGTTTGATTCCGTTCTATTCTCGGGGAGAACTCCAAGGGCGTGGGGCAAAAGTGTCGTCATTATGTTCTTTAAAAAGGGAGACAAAACCCTTCTGAAGAACTACCGACCTATTTCTCTTCTGAGCCACGTCTATAAGCTGTTTTCCGGGGTCATAACAAATCGTCTCGCGCGAAGACTCGACGAGTTTCAGCCCCCTGAGCAGGCCGGGTTCCGAGGGGGATATGGTACCGTGGACCACATACATACAGTGAGGCAGATTGTACAGAAAACCGAAGAGTATAATCTGCCCTTATGCCTGGCGTTTGTGGACTACGAGAAAGCCTTTGATACTGTCGAAACCTGGGCTGTTCTGGAGTCCTTGCAACGGTGCCAAGTCGACAGGCGGTATGTTCAAGTGTTGAGAGATCTATATGATGCTGCCACTATGGTCGTTCAAGTACAGAACCAGCAGTCTGAACCTATCCACCTGCATCGGGGCGTAAGACAGGGGGACGTTATTTCCCCCAACTGTTTACTAATGCTTTGGAGGATATGTTCAAGACGCTGCGCTGGAAAGGCCGGGGCCTAAATATTAACGGCAAGTATCTCTCACACTTGAGATTTGCAGATGACATTGTAATCGTGGCTGAAACCGTGCAGGACTTACAATATATGCTGAACAGCCTGGCTGATTCCTCAGCTCGCATCGGACTCCGGATGAACCTACAAAAAACGAAGGTCATGTTCAATGAACATGTTCTCCCGGAGCCGATCACCATCAATGGATCTCCTCTCGAGGTTGTTCAAGAGTACGTCTACCTCGGGCAAACTATCCAGTTCGGTAGAAACAACTTCGAGAGGGAGGCTCGTAGGAGGATACAGCTTGGCTGGGCAGCGTATAGGAAACTCAGTCGGGTATTCTCGTCAAAGATACCGCAAAGCCTGAAGACAAAAGTCTTCAATGAGTGCGTCCTACCAGTGATGACATACGGAGCCGAGACGTGGACACTTACAGTGCGACTGATCCACCAATTTAAAGTCGCTCAGCGAGCTATGGAAAGGGCTATGCTTGGAGTCTCTCTGAAGGATCGTATTCGAAACGAGGTGATCCGACAGAGAACTAAGGTTATCGACATAGCCCAAAGGATTAGCAAACTTAAGTGGCAGTGGGCAGGTCACATCTGTCGAAGAACCGATGACCGATGGAGTAAACGTGTTCTAGAGTGGAGACCACGTCTAGGCAAACGTAGTGTAGGGCGCCCTCCAGCTAGGTGGACTGACGACATCCGCAGGGTGGCTGGCAGTGGTTGGATGAGAAGAGCTGAACATCGAGCTCAGTGGCGTGCAATTGGGGAGGCCTATGTCCAGCAGTGGACGACAACAGGCTGATGATGATGAGGTATATTACTTTGGACAAAGTACTTAAATTTATTTTTTGCTTTTTAGTTTACTTTTTGAAGTCGGTTTTTTTTACTTTTCTTGTAGAGTTTTTGCGTCTAACTGGTGCAAATGGACCAATAAATTATTTATTAATAGAAAATGCACTACTAAGGATGTAGGATCCAAATTATGATTTACAAAATCAGGTGTCAGACGAAGGTGTGACGCCTTAAATAAATAAAACACTAAGGTACCTATGTAAAGTGTTTCATTTAAAAAACCTATAAAACAACTAAAATATAATTTGAAGATTTGAAGAGAAACCTTAGAGCATGTATGCACTACTATACATAAAACAACACCCCCATACTCGAACGCACACATAGACCTTCAATGTCAGTGAGTTGTAACTTTGTCGTTTATTTAACACTAGATGGCGCAATAAGATAAGTTCTGCATGTTTCGCCGTAGCATCGGCATACAAATATAAATAAAAAGGGTATTTATCAACTAGAAAAAATTAAAAACAAATAACAATTTAAAATCTTAAAAACGAATAATTCAATATTAAGAATTTATGGTACCTAGCCTAAACAGTTTTTTCCTTAAGAGCCATATACTCGGCCATAGAATAGAAACATTTCTCTAAAAGCCATTTCTTGAGCACATTCTTAAATTTACACAGTGGTAGTTCCCTTACAGTTTTAGGTAGCTTGTTATATATTTGGATAGCCATACAATAACAGTTCCTTTTAAACAAAGTAGTCGACATCATAGGAAGAACCAACTTACTCGGGTCTCTGGACAAATACTTTCTGGTTTCGCTAACTTTCTCGAATAACCTACCATGTTTTTTAACGAATACCCCAACTTCATAAATGTAGAGGCATGTTATCGGGAGCACTTTAATTTTTTTAAAGAATGATCTACAGGACTCCAATGGACTAATACCACTTATTGCCCGAATACACTTTTTTTGGGATATAAATGCTCTATTAATGTCTACCGAATTACCCCACAGTAAAATTCCATACCTCAAAATTGAGCCTACGTATCCATGGTATGCTAATAGTGCAGTTTTCTCAGATGCGAGTTTACGTATCTTTCTAAGAGCATACACGAACCTGTTGATACGTTTGCAAACATTATTTACCTGCACTTTCCAATTACAATGTTTATCAAGGAAAATCCCTAAAAACTTTGTTTCATCGATTTCCTCAACTTTTTGACCGCGATAAATTATATAAGATAGGCTTAGTTGATGTAGGTTTATAGCCTAGAGATTAATGTAGGCACTCTGTGTCAGACCCCATGGATACGTCAGTACTTATATTCATCAATGCAAAGATTGTGCACTTTAGCAAAAAACGAGCCGAGCGAGATGCGTGTAAATAGGATTGCGTCCTTTTCTACTAAAGTGACTACACGATTTTATCTTCCGCGGATAACGGCTAACAAACAAAACATCATTTATTATACTATTATTTAAATAACTTTAATAACTGCGAGATAAAATAAATTCATGCATGTAAGTTAGAGAAACATGCATGAGTATGTGCCTGTGGCGGCCTTTTTGTGCGAATCGACGCGACTGTGTCGCCACTTTCTGGGTATTCCGCACAATATCGGCGCGTGTACTTAAAATGACAATATCTTAAATGTTTTGTATAGGAGCTTATGTAAAACTTATATCATTGGAATCGTTATGAAACAAGCTCCCATTTAAAATACAGATTAGTCCAGTTTTATTTTGTAAAATATTATTATCAATTGTGCTTTGAAATCAGGTCGAGCTATAATTTTCCCAGTTTATGGTACAAAAGTCGTTGTAATTAATACAATAAACAGTTATTTCCAAAAGTTTTTATTTCATATAAATACTTATGACTTCACATTAATTTGTGAAAAAAACACCCCCCGCCATAATTTTTTAGTTACCCAACAAGCTTTACAAAAAAGAGGCGTTTTAAGCGACCCGAATGGCCAGTCAAAAACACATAAATAATTATCACATGCCCAGCAATGATTCTAAGTTATTAATTCTTTTATTTCGAGTTTTCAGTTTTTGAGACAAGGTTTTAATTTTACGACGAGATTTCTTTTTTCTCGGTGTATTCGCTGTGATTGTCATTAATTTATGTGTGACGCACTTTGTTTAAATTTCATCTTACGGTGATTTTGATGAAGTTCCAGGATCTTTACGCAATGGTCGACTGATCGTAATAGAAGTCAGTACTTGCAGTTTTTTTTAATAATCAGGTATTATCTAAAAAAAAACGAAGCAATGACTGGTAACGGTATTTTTTAAATACAAACATTACAGTAGTAGTAGTTTCGTTAACTCAATGGGTGTGTTAGGCTAAGTACATTATATTAAATATTATACAATTTCAGATTTTTAGGCTAACTACACAAACACTACTTACCACAAGAAAAATTGATGATATTATTCGCTTTTAACATCTTGCAGCAGGATGAGTTCCGAAATCTTCAGCTTTAAAATGCAAACCGCAGAATGCTGAATATTGAGTTATATTTCCAATTACAACGTCAAGCCTTTCTTTCTTAATTTCCTCAGTTTTAGGAAATCTAAAACAGTTGTTGTGTAGTCATAATAACCAGTAATGGGTGAAATTTTTGAAGTACCGCATTTTATAAATGTACACGTAGACTTAATTTGAGATGCGAACCGTGATTCGCTGCTCATAGCTGGTAAGCGGGCGTGGCACAAATATTATAAAGAATAATTTCAAATGAGAGTGTAGAAAAAAACAAAATCATTTTTCATGGACACCCTCCTCATATCATAACATAAACAAACACATCACCCAGAACACATACCTATGAAAAGATTCGTTGCATCCTTTGTATGATTCACTTTTGCCTCATTTGACGCAACGAGTGAGAACCATTTTTAACAATATATCACAGAAAGCACCGTAATTACACAAAAGTAAAAATAGTTAGAGCGTCTCAGCTGTTTCTCAACAGAATAATCGCCATATTGGACGAATTTTGTACGCGCAACACTACTCGTCAAATAACTACTATAATGCCGAATTTCAAGCAAATACCAGTAATTCGCTAGGTTTAAAACAAAACAAAATATGTGTAACAATAATCTTTCAAATTAAATTAGATGATTTTATTTTTAGATGATCAATGAAGCAAGAATAAAACAAAATTCAATTCTACTACACCAAAAAATATTTTACCGTTGCAACCCATTAGACAAGGACGCAATCCTATTTACGAGTATCTCGCTCAGCCCGTTTTTCCGTTTAATACGACTTTATTGAAATGGTAGTAAAATTCATTTCACGTTACCAATAATTTCATAGTGCACAATCTTGTTGTCTATAAGATCTTTGCATCAATGTCCATGTCCATGCGAAAAGTTTTCAATAGTATTTCCTTGACATAAGTTTAGTGTTGCCCCTGCAAACTGCAAATCTACTGATGTTTTTGAAGTGCGTCGTCATCGGCAGGTTCTAATTTACCAAAAAAATATATTTGCCTGTATTATCATTATTAAGTAGCATTAATTTAGATTAATGTACCTAGATACATTTGAAATTAAGTAAAACATAATAATGTAGGAAGATCGCAAAAAATATAATGTTGAATGGCAACTCTAGCAAGAAAATCATGAAATCAGATTATCAGAAATGTCAATAATGTGTGTTTGGTTGTTCTTGATTTGATCGTGAGATTCTGTAATAATTGTAGAAATCGTGTCGTTTTTAAAGATTAAATTGTTCGCATATTGTAAAAGTGTATAAAAATTCAAGGGTTTTGTAAAGTCGTATCGAGTAAAATAATGCTTATATCCCCGGGACCGTGTTAGGAGCATGTACGATAGTACATGCGGCGCCGCCGCCAGCGGACAGTGCGGCAAAGCACAGCCTGATGGCGACGGACCGCCGCCTCGGGAGCCCCCGCCGGCACCTCTAGAGAGAGACTACAGTGGCTTTGATATAGTCAAGGCCACTCAGTATGGTGCGTTCGGACGCGTCAAAGAACTGGTCGAGGCAGGATGGGACGTTAACCAGCCAGACCACGAGACGGTCACGCTGCTGCACTGGGCTGCAATTAATAACAGGCGTGAGATCATCCAGTACTTGCTGTCGAAGGGTGCAGCAGTAGATGCCGTGGGTGGAGAACTGCAATCGACTCCGCTGCACTGGGCTACGCGCCAGGGTCACCTGGAGGCGACAGTACTGCTGGTGCGAGCGGGCGCGGACCCCACGCTGCGCGACGCGGAGGGTTGCGCCTGCTTGCATTTGGCGGCGCAGTTCGGCCACACGGCGGTGGTGGCGTACTTGGTGGCTCGCGGCGTGCCGCCCGACGCGCCGGACGCGGCGGGCATGACGCCGCTCATGTGGGCGTGCTGGAAGGTCTCCGCCGTGGACCCGGCGCGCTTACTGCTGACGTTGGGCGCCTCGCCGCGCCCAGCTGATCGCTCGCACGGCAATACAGCCCTACATTGGGCTATCCTTGCGAGGAACACAACTGCCATATCTACTCTCATTCTTTATGTGAGTTTTTCATTATGATAAATTATAGCTTAGTAAAGTTAGATAACGGTTACCGAGACACAAATTACTTGAATTGTCACAGTACACTCAGTACTATGAATAAGAGATTAATAAGTGGAACCCATCAACCATCAACATCTTACCCTATACACACCTCATGGCCTGATTTGTAATTAAAGCATAAATTTTGATGTAACATTGAGATATGCATGGGTGGGGTCTAGTAATGGGAAACAGAACATTATATAAACATATTAATAAGCTAGCATTATTGACATTATTTATATTAACAGACGGACAGACTGACACATAAAGTCATATAAAGTTCAACCTAATGATATCTTTTTTGCTTGACATTCAAAAGTGTCTGTTATGGTCTACTTGAAATAAAGAATTTGATTTGATTGTATTTTATGTAGATTTATTAAATGTTAGTCAATTAACTTATTTATTGGAATGGCAAATCAAAATTAGCAATGTCAAATCATTAGTGCTGTGTTGCTAGGCAACACTTGTCACATCAAACATGAGAGAAAAGGAAAGCAATAATAATATGTCCATGAAAGAATGATACAAATTACCTACTGCACAAACAGTCATTTCCAGCTTTTCAATTTTAATTAAGAAAATATTTTAGTCATAATTATTATCACCATCATCAGCCAGATTCCGTCCTCTCCACCTTCACAATTGCAAGCCTCTTAGTAATTAGTAATAAAATAAATAGTTTTTAGTAATACAACAAAATGCAATATTTTCTGAATTCAATGCTTTGTGTTTAAATAAAGTATTTTCCCAGTATCATTTAATTGTGAAAAGAGTGGTATGGCTTCAAATCATATTTTTGATCTTAATAAGAACAGCAGATACAGAAAGTGTTTAATTTACTAATGGCCAATGTATATGAATCTGAAATCAGTACAGAGGGGGTTCAGGGACTTACTAAATTGGTCCATGTATAAATTACCAAAGTCAACATTTATTGCAACTGGGATGTGGGGATGAGGAGGTGTTAAGTAAACAACATGATGTGTAGGTACTATTTTGAGAGACAATTTTATTGTGAACTGAGACTCCACTGTAGTCAACTAGATCCTTTAATAGATGGTTTAAATATGAATAGATAGTATGTAACTACATGCTAGCACTAAACCATTATACAGTTAGTTTGGAAAGGTTATACAAAAATAGACCTTCATAGTTGTCATCAGTGGTGTCCATCAGTTCATCTGAGAAGTTATGCCGTTTGGGTATGCTATCATAATGCGGTTTTGGCAGATCAATGTTCTCAATTTTAACATGTAAATGTGTAACGGAATTATGAAGTTTTTGCTCAATAAGAAATCAATAAGTCAGGGTCTGACAACTCGCCCCATCCAGGCTTAAGGCTTAAGGTTTGGTTGTTGAGGGTTTTGCGGGCTAACCCAGTAACTGACTGAATATACCTTCTAAGTACCTATTGTATATCAACAATTATAATTATTTAAAAATAAAGATTTGAAATTGGTTACAAGTAATAGGGATGATGAAATAACATAATATATATTAGCACACTTGCCATTTCCACCACAATAGTACATTATTGTACATTTAAATTATTAACACTAGTTTCTGACAGCGACTTCGCCCGCGTGTCTAGTATTAAAAAGTACACCATATGTTATTTCAGACTATAAATACTCTATAAAAATTTCATTCAACTACTTTGTCAAGAAAGTATTGGGCAAAGACCAATAATACACAATGTTTTTGTTATTCAGCCCATAGTTTATCACCTTCAAATTATGCCCGTTCAGAAACGATACAATTACGCCAAGGAATAATCATCCAAACATTTTTAAACCGTTTCCAAAATTGTGTTCACTCTCGCCGCGAGTTCTTCTTTATGTTTTGTAAAGATCGGAAATGGGTCAGCTGGAGAATAGGCTGTTCGGAATTATTCGGCTAGAGGCATATATCGACTTTGGCGTGGTTTTTTCGGTTTTGGTTTAGTTGGAAGGCGCCGCTCCGAAGCTTGTTGACTTGTTTCCATGTCAAACTAGTAAAACCTCGTCTCGTCGGCAGTAACAATGCGTTTCATGAATGTTGGTTCACAATTGCCTTCTTCTACCATACCCCAGCGACTCGCATGTGATTGAGTTTTTGAAAAAAATTCTCTTTTTTGGTGGCAACATGTTTCATACCCAAATGATTACTTTAAATGGTACGGATCGAATCCGTGACAAATTTGCCATCATAGCTAGCATAGAGTTTAGCATAAAGCGGTTGCGCTTTTGAATGCTTTCTACCACTCATAAGCTCACGCTTTTGATTAAGACAATTTTCCGTTAACCTTCGGTGACTGCGAACACAGTTTCAGTTACTCCGAAGTAGTTCGATGATTTTTTCCATGATGAAATTAGAAATATACGCTAAAACAGCGCTGTATTTAATATATATAACAGATGAAACTCAAACTGCGCCAAATAGGATAACGGTTATGCCAATAAAGCAACATCATCATACACAAAATAATTAGAAATACCTTTTTTGACTGAATGTATTAGTAGGGATTGGTTCTCCTTGGCCTGTCTTGTGCTTATGCGGACCAGCGTCAGCTACTTCATCGCATTGTCCGTGTGCAGGGTGATGCCAGCCTAGACGTGCCCAATCTGCGCGGAGTGACTCCTTTGGCGATGCTGCAGGCCAATGCTGACTCCCTGTGGGTGGGTTCCAAGGTGTCGGACAAAATAAAAGAACATTCACTAGCTGCGAACAAACACAATCTACTGAGAAGACTAACGTACGACAAGGTGAGTAGGGCTCTGGGGCGCAGTGCGAGCGGCGTTACTTAGTGGTTACTCTCTGGTTACTGGCATATTGTTACCGACAGAAATTCAGGTGGTGGTGCGTGGTGGTCATGCCCTTCGTGGCCTTCTACCTCACCGGCCTGGTGCTGGAGATGGACGCGCTCTACCTGGTCAAGGCTTTCATGCTCGTCTGCTTCTACGGCGCGTTGCACTTCCTAAGCAACTTGCTCTTCGATGATGACCTCAAGAACATATTCCCGCTTAGCGTGTATCTTGCCACCAAGGTAAGCGGCTTCCGTCACAAATGTCACGATCTCAGAAATATGCCAAGTTCGGCCCAGACTGAGCTCTAGCTTCTGGCAGGTGTGGTTCTACATCACGTGGGCGGTGTTCATCGCGGGCGTGGTGGGCGCGGGCGCCACGCTGCTGTTCGCGCTGAGCTCGTGCGCGCTGTGGTACTCGTTCCTGCGCTCGTGGCGCTCCGACCCCGGCGTGATCCGCGCGTCGCGCGCCGACAAGCTGCGCACCATCATCGAGCTGTCGGAGTCGGCGCGCGGCGGCTTCGAACCCGCGCGCTTCTGCTCCGCCTGCCTGGTGCGCCGCCCGCTGCGCTCCAAGCACTGCTCCGTCTGCAACCGCTGCGTCGCCAAGTTCGACCACCACTGTCCCTGGGTGGGCAACTGCATCGGGGCCAACAACCATCGCTATTTCATCGGGTTCCTGGTGAGTCTGCTGGTCATGTGCGTCTGGATGATCTGGGGCGCCGCGCAGTACTTCAGCGCCGAGTGCCCCGTGGCCGACCCCACGGCGCCGGGCGTGGTGATGCAATGGGCGCGCTGCAACCCCTGGCTGGCCTGGGTGCTGCTGAACGCGTGCTTCCACCTGTTCTGGGTGACGGTGCTGACGGGCTGCCAGCTGTACCTGCTGGTGTGCCTGGGCATGACCACCAACGAGCAGCTCAACCGCGGCCGCTACCGGCACTTCGTGGCGCGCGGCGGCCGCTCGCCCTTCACGCGCGGCCCGCTGCGGAACTGCGCCGAGCTGTTCGGCTGCGGCGCCTGCGGCCTGCTGGCGGCGCGGCCGCGCGACTGGTCGGCGGCGGGGCTGGCCGACCTGCGCGACCCGCGCGACGACGCCGACGCCGACGCCGACCTGGCCGAGCCGCCCGAGGACGAGCGTCTGCTGCGCGCGCAGCACTACGTGTAACTCGCGCCCTCTGCCCCGACGATCGCATCCTTGTGATAACATTTTATAATTATATCGTTTTTACTAATAACTTAATGTACGATTGTATTCGTTTGGAAGCCTCACTACTGTGCGTTCGATCAATGCGATGTGTCGTGTTCTCTGTGATACAAACACGAACCAATATACTTAAGTTAGAGTAAATATTGTTTATAAGAACCGAAGCTTCCTTCTTGTATGTCGTCCACTCGCCCGCGGTAGCTGAGCGTGACGCGCAAATAATGTATGGCGGCAGTCAGTGGCTACAGCACTGCGGGCTTATTTCACTTTTACAGAATACATTTTCGGCCACAGCTCCTACAGCGCGCTAAACTAGTAATTGATCCAAAAGTGCTCCTTGTGCTTCCAAAACAAACATCGAAGGTGTGCGTGGTCGAGTGTCTCGCCTTCAAACGAAGACTGTTATGAACTGACGAACGATCAAGCAAGACACAACAAGGCACCTGCAGTCAGCGATTGAGCCCAGCGTGTACTAATTACTGCAATTAATCTAATTAGCTTGTAAACTGTGCGACACGTACTCAGTGTGCGCAGTGCTTCGGATGCGGCCGGCCGACATTAGCAAGCGCGTTTGTAATTAATGTGGTTTAGTATTCGTACTCGCCAGTACTCGCGAGATGTCGCTACCAGTGCAGGCGTACTGCTTGACTGCTGACATTCCTCGCGTTCCTTCTATTGCAATAAAGCAACAACTAGCAGCTGCGAACTGTTGGCTGGGCTCTGTTGGCCGGGCTCTGCTGGCCGGTCTCTGCTGGCCGGGCTCTGTTGGCCGGGCTCTGCCGGCCGGGCTTGACGTTACCTTAAACTAGTTGCGAGTGCGGTCTGACAGCCTTGACATGTTAGCGCTCAGCGTCGCTGTCGGTGTGCGACAGTGCGCCCCTGCAGGCACGCGTTGGCCCAGTATTACCGGAGTAGCGTCCCCGCTGCTGTAATTATTGTACATTTATTATGGACGCGTACACTCGGCACACTTACTCGTGTATAGGTACGCTGATAAAGATTGATATAGCACAGAGTAGACTGCTGAGCCGACCGATGCTTACAAAAGATATGGCTTCATCAACAACCAAATAATGTTGAGCAACAAAGCCACTGCCTGTGTTCCGCATAACTGTGCAGAGTGTATGTATAAACACTCCCTAGTGTAACGCGTTTCTGTGCGCTTGTAATTTACTGTATAAAGGCGGATTTAGTTGAATAATGTATTTAATTAATTAGTTAGTACTAAAGAACAAAGTACGTCATAGCAATATCGAGTTCCGAGCTTACGACAATATCATTGTTACGGTAAGACTAGACCGAGCGACGGCGCGCGCCGCTCCCCATCCGAGCGACGCCGGCTTCTAAACGGAGGGACTTTCTTCACTCTTCTATTTAGATGTTAAACTGTATAGAATAATACTATTGTATTATAATATAAAACGAAACCAAAATGCATTTAATGTCAATAAATATTTAATAAACTTTAAATTGTTTCATTCGAGGAAGACAAACACAACCAGCTTGGCAGAACCAATGCAATCACGTAGATGTATAAAGTCAGAGAACTGTGAGGAGAGCAGTACTCATTGTAAGGCACGCATGTCTTCATTTACATTCACTACAACAAAACAGGAAAATCAAATTGGAAATATAACTTGCTTTATAGTGTGGTATGGTGATAAAAGTAGCTTATCTACATAAATTTCAACTAAATCGTCCTAGTAACCAGCCCTTAGTGCATGAAAGAATAACATATAAGTATACATCCATTCCTAATCAAAAACTTTCACATCTGTAATGTTAGTAGGATAGTAGGATATTTTAATAACATGACATTCGCAAATAGCTTATCTCAGACCTTTCATTTTCGATGTTTTTTTTTTATTTCTCTAGTAATATTAAAAATCTGTGTCTTTCAAGTCTTAGTAATGACTGATACGAGGAAATGCCCGGGTGTAGCCATAGTGAGGACCACCCGTAGAATATAGTGGAACATACAGTTGCAGAATACCCTGATTGGGCTAAATACTGCCGTGACGATCGGCGGCGGCGACCTCTCACATCCAGCCTTAGGCCATGGTGCTGAACGAGAGGAATCGGGAAGCCGTCTCCTCTTTCTGCGGAGCAGTTACGTTCGCAAATAAGGAGGTGGAGCGCGTGAGAGAATTCACGCTCTGGCCAAAGTAGGTGACACAGCGACGAGAATCGGACGTGTGCTAACACAGCACTCGCCAAGTTGTGACGGACTTGTCTGAAGGGGGTTAAACGCCGACACGTCACACGGCGGTAGCAGCCGACGCGGCGACGCTCGCGCTGCGTTCGTGCAGCTCGCACGCCAAATGTGGGGTCAGCCTATGAGCCGGTCCGAGGACCATGAGTACGGCGCGTAGCGTTCGGCTCGCGCCTCGAGCCAGTAGGTACCTACATCACCATTAATTGTGTTCAGCCGGGGTCGTGAGGCAAGCGCAATAAGGTGCCGTGGCCTTGGCCTGGAACAGAAGGAAGGGATGTTTTTAATCAGTAAGAGACTGACACTCCCTCTCTCCTAACCCTGGGCAGAAGGGTTTCTGGAGAGAAGTTATTTGATGACTATCCCCACTCAAAAAAAAAGCAGTATAGGAATAAAATTATCAGCTCTCCTGGGCCGTTACTAGCGACCTGGCGCGGCTTCGCACGGGAACAATGCTGATACAATACCACTATTTAATGCATATTATTATACTTTTAAGTTCGTTCGTGCATGTAGCGTGGTCCACCTGTTAACAGAGAGGGTAAATATCTAGAAACAGTCCAAAATATCTAAACGCCAAGAAAATGATTAATCTGAATGCTCCGAACTGCTAAGCTATCAAGAGTTACACGTGGTATTATAAATCAACCATAAAATTGGACTGTGTTCTAAATTTAACGAAAACGATAAAACCTAAATATTGAAACCAGCGATGACTGTCAGGATTTGGCAAAGACTATCCGTTGTATTAATTAGCATTAATCTAGGTACATTAAGATTGAGAAAAACAGGAGAAGATTTTTAAGATTGTGATTTTTAAAACTTTAAACCAATAACGAGATCTCAAAGTACGATTTAAGAATATACGTACTGGTACGATTTATGATCAATGGTCTTAAATCGTACTTCTTTTAAATTTTTGAAAATTGTTAATTTCTCAGAAGTTTATGTTATTTTTTGTTGAAATACTACCTAATAGAACATTTAGTGAAATTATAATCACTTAATATAAATAACTCTGTATCATTGTTCAATTCCAAAATTTTTGAGGTTCTTAAGTGGTACGAATTTGGCAAGTTTACCCTATATCTGTCGAGTAGTTTTTGTTTCTATGTATAAGGAACATACATACAGACAGACAAAAATTTTACAGATTACATGTTTGGCAACTCTATCAATCACTAATCACACCCTGATTTTCTTTTTGAAAATATATTTCATGTACAGAATTGACAACTCCACAGATTTATTATAAGTATAATCAAGGCACACCTAACACCGTTGAGCATCCTTTTAAAAATGTTAACTCTTAAGTCCCCTTTGTAAGTACCACATCAGTAGAGTCAAGTGGCTGCTAGTTGCTAGTGCAACCACCGGTTTGTATCCCGGGCCAGGAATAAATATAAATGAGTTTCCTCTGATTTTTATAAATCTGTTCCCGCTGTAAGATTAAGAATCATTCAAATTCATAACTAGGTAAATACATTTTACAATCATTCAAATTCATAATTTGTGGATCACCCCGAGGTCATTCCATGGACGCTCGATCCGCGCCTCGTGGCACTACTACAGCCGCGCTGCTGTTTAGTAAAGCTGCGAGTGAGTATTCGACAAGTTATGCTACTGTGGCTTACACCACGCATGTAAGTAATGTTGCATTCCAATAAACATTTTGCACACGCTCCTATTTTTCTTATCGTGGTAAGCTTATTGATACCTGCTCGGTAGGTATATCTATTAGATAAAGATTGAGTCGGCCGCAGCTCACAGGGGATGCTGGTGGGTGATGGAGGGCTGGGCGCGTGTGTGTACGCGGTGCTGTGTGGCTGTGTGCGTGGCCTGCTGCATTCGGCCCGGAAGTGGCCGTGTTATCATCGCCACCGGGAATTACCGTTAATCTATGAATCCAAATATGTAATTACGTTTTTAATACAAGACAGACCTGAAAACAATTACATTGATAACAGTATATCTAAATAAAAATTCAAATTGTTGAAAACCTGCGCCCGGGCACGGCGGCCATTGAGTACCTACCATCGTGCGCATACAACCAGCTGTTGTAGCTGTTGCATTGATTCTTACCAGCAGGTAAACATGTGTTTACCAAAAGGTAGGGTAACCACACTCACATTGCACTCACTTTGCAACCTCATGATCCTACACAGCTGCACTACATACGTTAAAGAACACTTATCCTCCTTTTTAGTAAATCATAAAAAGGAGGATTGGAATAAAATGTTCCTGTGTTGCTTACAAACGCAGTATCTAATTGAAATATTAATTAAAATATTGAGTTAACAAAAAGTATATAATAAAAACAAATCGGTCAGAAAGCAAACAGAATTTTCTGCTGCCATTGCTGTTGAGGTGTTCCGTTAGCTATTAATTATTTTAATCATCAGACCCTTAATGTCAATCGCACCTCAAGTTTCCCAAGTTCCAATCAATACATATGTATATGATAGGTATCAATCCTCCAGGTGACAAGTTACCATCAATACAAATTAGTCAAACCGAGCCGGCCCATTCGTACTGCAGCAAGTACTCATACTCAAGCAAGGCTCTCCCATTCTATCCCAAGTGAATACCAGTGTTTTTTTTGTCGCGCTTACGGTGCGTGCCCGGAGGTGGTCTCTCGAAGTGAATACCAGTTCTACCAGTAGGAAAAGTATTCGTTTATATTTAAATTCTCTTCGATAAAATTAATTACAACGCAATGATACAAGTGTTCACTAAAAGAAGATTTATGTTCTACACATACTTCCTTAATTATAATATGTATTTTCTTATAATATAATATTTATAGCTGATCATGAAATCATCAGTTAAGAAGGTACTTACCTATTATATTACATTACTTTCTTCCGCCAGCGGCTTCGCCCGAGTGCTTTCATAAAAAGCAGCCTATAGCAATAGAACACAACAAATCGAAGTAGACATAAAATGTTATTAAGTACCTAATCGTCTCATTTTTATGGGTATATCTCCAATGGGTTTCTTACTAAGTCTCCGCTATTCGTCCGTCCACACTGATCTTACCAATAAGTAAGTATTGCAAATATACCGCGACGCATCGAACGCGGCAACCGTTACACAAAAATAATCACATGCGACGGCGCGATGGCTTATTATCCGAACTGCTAAGCTATCAGGAGATACACGTGCTATTGTGAGTTAACCATAAAAGATAGACATATGCTGTAAAACATTTTTTTTTAGATAATTTCATGTATAATATTTTCGTCAAACATAATTTCTATGTAACTTTAACCATTAAGGCTACACACGCGACGGAAACTTAAAAAAGGGAGGAACTTCTCCCGTTTTCTCGACATTTCCCTTCACTGCTCTGCTCCTATTATTTGTAGCGTGATGAAAAGTATCCTATAACCTGCCCAGGAGTATAAAGAATAATTGTACCAAGTTTTGTTAAAATCCGTTGAGTAGTTTTTGTTTCTATTAGGGACATACAGACAGACAGACAAAAATTTTATTGATTGCATATTTGGCATCAGTATCGATCACTTATCACCCCCTGGTAGTTATTTTGAAAATATATTTAATGTACAGAATTAACCTCTCTACAGATTTATTATAAGTATAGATAGATATTAGAAATGTGGTGTTGTTTCGTGGTCGCGTACATTCGCGGGTTACACCTTTGTCCTATGCTGATACAGCAAGCTGCGAGGCGAGGGCTTATAGTCAATGGCGCGTGCGATGGCGACAATATCAAGCAGAGATAGCTTGCACGGCTCAGTGGCAGAGATACCGCGCCGGTATATGAGCGCGCGGCGGCCGCGGTCGCCACTGATTACTGCAACGCGCCGCCGTCGGAGCCGTGTCTGTTCTCTTGACCTTTTTCTCAATTGCCAACTACATTAAATGGACGGTAAATATGTCTGCTAGTTCTCCATACTTAAACCCTCACTTTCGTCCCAAGATGCATCCTCGTATGTTCTGACACAGAGGATGGGACTGGTGAGCGGTAGTACTTGTAGTGATCGCCTGCTGCGCGGTGTGTGGTTCCAGTGTCGGGCGTGCTGGACGTGATGGGCGGCTCGAGCGAGCTGGAGCTGCTGGCGCGGCACGCCGTCGACTCGGACGACCCGTGCGCCACACACGACCACGCCATGGTGGTGAGTGCCCGGCGCGTGACTACCGTGCCATGAGTGCCCCTTACTGGCGGCGCTTGGAATGATAACTCTATCTCTACAGTTCCACTCGTGCGTGTGTGCTGAGATCTTGTTCAATGGGTGGAAAACTACAAACGAGCTGCAGCTGTTTGGGTCGGCGGTGGCCATATTCGTGGCGTCCGTGCTGTACGAGGGCTTCAAATACTGGCGCGAAACACTGCCGAGCCCCGCGGCCAAACCGATCTCCGACTCGCGACAGAACATCGCCAAGGGTGACTCTGCGATGAGCTCGTTCAGGTAGGTCTTGTCGACGTGTGTGTCTAGGTGTGTTTGCACAGCATAGTAAGTGCGTCGGTGTGTGCGTGCAGGGCGGCGGCGCTGTCGGGGGCGCATGCGCTGCAGACGGCGCTGCACGCGCTGCAGTCGACGCTGAGCTACCTGCTGATGCTGGTGTTCATGACGTACAACGTGTGGCTCTGTCTGGCTGTCGTGCTCGGCCTCACGCTCGGCTACTTCCTCTTCGGCTGGCGGCGGAACTCCCTCAACGACCCCAACGAGCACTGCCAGTGACCGGACGCGACTTAGGATAATATTGTTATATTTATGTTTATATACATTTCCGAATACTCAATTACAAAACTTATAAAAATACCTACGAATTTTCTTATAAACTTCACATAGGAAACTCAGATGTGTTATTTAAATTGGCAAAGGTAAACGAGTCGTTCATGGGATTCTTGTGTTAAGTATATAAATGTTAAAACAAAATCCCAGGAGAAATCGGGTCAGATTGGCGCTGGATCGCTCAATTCCCTATAATGTGGTTGAGTTGGGCGATGCTGGTGGACGAGACATGTCCGTAAACGGGCGCCAATCGGGACCACCCAGCTCCGGACTGTCTATTATTGCCCTTAAGGTATTTTCTTTTCATGTTTCTTTTAATAAATATTAGTGTTACACTGTTCTCACAAATTCGAACCACCTAAATAACGTACCAAAGACCTTAATTAATGAAAGACACAAGGCAAGTTAGATTTACGTACGTACCTATCGGAACATGTGCATACATATTGAACAATTTATTTTTGTGTTGCATAGGCTATCAAACATTATGCTTTGGCCAATAGCAGCAGAGGAGCGAGTTACACGGGAAAGTAGCTCCTTCTTTAGAAGTAATGTTATTGTTGTAAGTACATGAACACATGCAAACTGAAACAATTGAATATTCGAGCGCACCTAGATTGCTGTAAATTCTTAGAAGTATTATCTTTGTATTATCGTGAATGTGCTTATCAAGTCGAGGCGCTATCTTCGGTGTAATTGCCGACCGCAATGTCATCGCAATATCAGGCGACACGTGTGTCCCGCCGCGGACAACAAGTCGCCATACGCCGAGGCGGCAGTGACTGTCGACAGACACGCATTTAGGTAATTATTTAATGCCCACATCCCATCTTATGGCTAGTGATATGTATTCGATGCCAAAATAATTACAAGAAAAAACATGCTCCATACATCCAATCAATTAGGAAAGAGTGAAACAGTCCCGTCCGACGCTAAATAAATATAAAAGTAGCGGGTAAATATATACACTGCACTGGCCAGCGGAACTCCTGATGAAAGTAACAGATTCGTCGTAACTGAATTCTTATTTATTTATTTATTTAATAATTTTTGTACACACAGTAAGTTGGACAAGAAAAGTGTCTTATTATCACACAGCACACACTGATTATACCTTACCTAACTTATAATATAAATATATCTAAAAAAGTTATAATAAAGTATATGTCGTCGTCAGTGATGGATGAGGGACATCAGAAGCACCTTCAGGGTTAGTGCGGAGTTCACTGGGCAGACGTTGTAGGGTGGTCAACTGGCTGCGGTAGACTACACTTTTGCTTAAAGCTACTATTAGTGCCTGAACTAGACAATTCTGTAATTCTGGCGAGAGTAGGTAAAACATATAGGGGAACCCGGGGCTGAACCACAGCGTTGTGTTTCGCCGTGTTCTAAATCTCCCTAATCCCTAATCCCCAAAAGGTCGGCAACGCACTCGTAACTCCTCTGTTGTTACGGGTGTCCATGGGCGGCGCTGTGTGAGACCAATAATTTAACCGGAATATAAATCATAACTACTCGTTAATTATGTTATAATAAGTCATAGTTTGATGGAAATGCTTAAAATTTTAGGACCATGGGATTGCTTGGTTTGCAATATTATAAGAAATGAGGGCAAAATAACGGCTGCTAAATACCAATTATTTTAATTTCATTACTGTAAACTGAAAACTGTTACTAAGTTTTTATATTAACTATCGTGAGACATTCTAAATTAATTTAAAAATCGCGGGTTACAATGTACATGAGTGCTATAGGCTATAAAACATCACGCTACGATCAGATGGAGCTGAGCAGCGGGTGAAACCTAGTTTATTATAAAACGAAAAAAATATGTTAATAATACGTTTTTCTAAATTTAAAGTATACTTTAATAAAAAGCAATAGACTACTAGGTAATTGCAAGACTTGACTCGACTTGCACGACCAAGACCAAGACCAAGACAGGGAGCGCAAGACCAAGACCAAAACTGGCTAAGTCTCGTCTTGTTCTTGCATTTGGGCAACACTACGTCTGCTTATCAGGAAGAACCACTCTGTGGTTCGAAACTAGTAGAGCTTTTCTCAATATATATGCACGAGAGTAACCCGCGATTTTTTAATTAATTAACTGTAAGTAATTTACATTAGGTACCTATTCACAAAAAGAAACTCATTTCCATTTTATTTGCATTACCCATTTTTTTATTTACACAAACCTTGTCAGCACATTTCAGAACATGTGGGTAATATAGAAGAGTTGTCACGCACACGTGTCTACCAAACCGGCTTCACATTATTGTTCCGTGCGGTCCATCTGCCCAGTTTGTTTCTGATCTGTGAGAACAAACGTTAGGTTAGGTTAGGTTCCCGGGGGAGCTCGTACAGGGAAGCGACGTTGATAGCCACGGCTGCGGTGTCACAGGTGGTGAACCGCATCCGGCGCCTGGGCCTGGAGGTAGCCCTGAACAAGTCGGAGGCCATGGTGTTTCATGGCCCCCGACGCGTGCCGGCGCCGGGATCACACATCGTGGTCAGTGGGGCCCGGATAGCTGTCGAGTCCACCATGAAGTACCTGGGATTGGTGCTCGACAGCCGTTGGGAATTCGGTCCCCACTTCCGGCGGCTGGCGCCCAAGCTGATGGGTGCAGCAGGCGCGCTTTCAACGTTGCTTCCCAACTTGGGGGGCCCGAGCGCCGCCTGTAGGCGGTTGTACGTGGGAATCGTGCGATCCATGGCCCTGTATGGGGCCCCTGTGTGGGCGCTCGACATGACGGCCAGTACTCTCGCCATTCTGCGGAAGCCGCAGAGGGCGATGGCCGTCAGAGTCGTCCGCGGGTATCGCACGATCTCCTACGAGGCGGCTTGCGTCCTGGCCGGATCCCCGCCCTGGGACCTAGAGGCGAAAGTACTCGCGTCATTATATCGATGGCGCGAGGAAGAGCGGGCACGGGGCTCGAGACCGGTGCAGCGGCAGATCGCGCGGCGCCGAGAGGAGCTCCGTCAGGTCCTGGTGGCGGAATGGCGGCAGAGGCTTCTGCGCCCTACCGCCGGCCTCGCTACCGTCGAGGCGATCCGGCCAGTACTCGACGACTGGCTCGGGAGAAGGCATGGCTCCCTGTCGTTCAGAGTGACACAGGTATTGTCGGGGCACGGTTGCTTCGGCAAGTACCTGTGTCGCATAGACAGGGAGCCGGACGCTCGGTGCCACCACTGCGTCCATTGTGGGGAGGACACGGCGCAACACACGCTCGCCGAGTGTGTGGCTTGGGAGGAGCAGCGCCGTGCCCTCACATCAGAAGTAGGAGGCGATCTGTCGCTGCCGGCCGTGGTTCGTAGTATGGTCGGTAGCGCAGAGTCGTGGGACGCGGTGGTGTCCTTCTGCGAGGACGTGATGTCGCAGAAGGAAGCTACGGAACGGGAGAGGGAGATCTCCACTCCCTTCCCAGGCCGCAGAAGACGCACCGGGCCCAGAAGAAGGGCGGATAACGCCCTCTTCCGCCCCCCATGAATGGGTCCAGGGGCGACGGACTTAGGGAAGTCCCCGCCCCTATCCGATGGACCCGAGGCGAAGGCGCGCGCGGTGTCTACGCGCGCCTCTAAGAGGAGGATGCACGGGGTAGTCGAACACCTCACTACCCCGTGCTAGAGACGAGGCCCGGACAGACCGGGCCAGCACTAGTGTGGGGCTGCGGAAGAATGTGGATTCCCACGGCCCCGCGCGCACGTGCGAGGAGACACCGGGGTGGTTTTAGCCGGTAAGAGTCCGGCACGCCCCTCCGCCTCTCCCCAGGCGGAGGAAGTCCATGAGGATTTCCCCCCGTTAAAAAAAAAAAAAAAAGGTTAGGTTAGGTTAGGTTGCGGGGGGGTCCCCCCACAGCGTTGACTTCCTCGTAGTGACCCCTGGGCAACGTCGCGCCTGACCACCGTAACGGAGTGGCAGGCCGGCGGCTAACGAACGCTGTGAATCGCTTGCTTTAATTGTCGTGAGCTTCCGATATTGTTGGTGGCAATGCCACAACCACTGAGGGACGCCTCCGGGCGTTTTCTTCCCAAAGGCCCTTCTCAGGGCCAACCAAAAGGCCCTTCTCAGGGCCAAACTAAATCCCGGGATGCTTCGGCATCAGAGACCAGCCGCGCACCATCTGCGGCGAGTCTAGCACGTGGTAGTGACATCGTGTCGGACTTTTCCGACAACGAGTCGATTTTGAGTGGCACGACTTGCGGTTCCACACGCCAGTCAAGAAAGCGGGCCTTCCTTAGGCAGGACTCCAGAGGCTCTCCGGACCAAACGGAGAAGCCTGCGAAGCGGGCGGTGATTCAGGCTGACTTGGAAGAGAGGATCTCTTCCAACGAACAACGTGCGAGAACCACCAGAGCCAAGGCTGGCTACGGCGCCTCCAGCGTCCTCTACGCGGACCACTCCGTAGAGGAAATGGAGCGCATGGCTCTGGAGGATCAGCAGGAGATTCTGGAGGTGGCCTCCAAGTCCTCCAATTTGAAGGGGACCTTCCAGAAGGCCCTGAAATGCCGGGCAGCGAGCTTGCTCGGCATCGTCAAGGAGTTGGCACAGCGCACCACCTCCGACGAAACGCGGCAACTGCAGGCGAAAGTGGATCGCCTGCAAAAAGAGGTGTCGGCGCTGCACGCGCGCGTTGCCGAGCTCATGGCCCGGCCTGAGGGGACATCGGAAGGTCCAGCGTCGATGCCCGCCCCCTCCAACCTTGAGGAAATCATCCGCAAGGTCGTAATGGAGGAGAGGGCCTTCACCAGGGCCTGCTTCGCAGGAATAGAGGACCGGCTACTTCCGGAGAAGCGGCTTCGCCCTCGACTAGCGGCGGATAAGGTATCCGAGAGGACCCCTAGCGCACCGGGTCCTTCAACGGCCCCAGCCCAGCGGGAGTCCAAGGGCAAGGGAAAGGGTAAGGGGAAGAAGACCACCCCGGCCGCCCCGACTGCCCAGACGGTCCCTCAGGACCTTCCGAGGGAGGACCCACTGCTGCCCTCCACCACCCCTTCCAACCAGCCGTGGGTGAAGGTGGTGTCGAAGAAGCGGAAGGGGAAGAAGAAAGTGGCCCCCAAGCCTCCT